TGTTGGTTCAAACTCACCAGCCACTCTGCAGGAGAATTGACTCAGTGGTTGTGGGTTTGGCTTGGCTTGAGGTGTTTTTAGTTTGCCCCTGAGAGAGGAATGCCCAGTAGTCATCAGCATGAGGTCCCCCAGAGAGCAGGCCCACTGAAAGTTTGCTCTGAAAAAAGCGAGGGGAACCAACTGGAGTTTATTTGGTCATGGGATTAAATAATTAGGTGAAAGGTTCTAATCATCTTCTGGGGGGATGAATCCTCCATATAGATGGGAGTAATCTTGATCAGTTTTCTCAGGGGACACGGGGTGGTTGCAAGTGCGGATTAAGATGTGTGATGAAAATTGGAAAGTGCATTGGAGAGAAAGTAGTCAGGAAAGTTGCTCCACAGTTTCCCTATCCTAACAGTGTGCCTGCTCCTTCCTTAGGGTTCCTTGGGAAACCTCACCTGTTTACCCACAGCCCTGACCTTTCCCTCTCAGACTTCCGTTTGTTCCTAAACTCCAAGAACATTTAAAAGGAACACTATTTGAGTCTCCCGAGGATGCCAAAACTATGGTTTTGATGTGGTGTAAATCAAAGAGCACAGATTTCTTTAGGGAAGGGTTAGAGAGATGGAAACATTGCCTTTAGAAGTGTATAGATTCATTGGAGAATATGTATTAATTACCTCCTTATAGCTGATGTTTATACATCCATCCTCACTCTTAATTACTCTATTTGCTATTTTAGTTCCTGTACGCCTTCCAGAGTGTTTTATAGCTTTCCATGGAAATATTTAGTGCTAGTACTTAACATATTTCTTCTGCTATCATCGCTGCTAAAAAGAAAAAAACAAACTATAAAAAGACTGGTAATGGACAGAGTTAATAGATTATTCAAGACAAGCAGTGCTTAATAACTTCAAGGCTTTAGCTCCAATGGCTTTTGCTGGCTGTCAGACTTGACTTTGTTATGTGGTGCAGGTTTTCTTTGTGCAAAAGCCCATTTTGTTAAGACCAGCTTGTTAAGAGTGTTTTCTCCTCCTGATATGCGAATCTCTGACCCTGTAACACTTCAGGGTTACTTACAGAAGAGGAGAAAGAATGGTGGTTATCGAGTGTCGTAGTAGTGAATTCAGAGAGTACTGTGAGCAGTGCCTGTTGGTGGATTGATGATCTCGGAAAGTACATGTGCTTTTGGGACTAGACTGTTCACAGAACTTAGAAAGTTTTGATTCATCAGAGAATCTGATCATTTGATAAAGATGCAACCCAGGAGTCTCCTCATCATCATTGAAAGCCCACTAGGCCTGGCGCCGACCTCTGCAGAGAGGACTGTATTTGTGTGCAAGGTGCTCCAATGCGTGATGTATTTTCAGTTCATCTTCTCAGTGGGTAAAAGCTGGTCCTCTGTACAGATCATTCCACTTGAGAATGAGTCAACAGAAAAACAAGGAAACCAACAACCTATGAAATAATCTCACAGGATAAAAGAAAATGAAATAATGAATATTCAGATGGAAAAGTTTCTGATTTTGATTTTCTCCAAGAACAAAGAAAAGTTGAAATCATTTCACTTCGACCTTTAATGAACCTAAGAAGTCAGGCAGTATGAAAGCAGAGGAAGAAGTAGTGAGGAGAGCATTAGTTGTCGGGGTCTGGCCATGAAGCAGAACTAGTGAAAGATACATATATTAAGGCTTATTACATGATTGTGGGAGCTGACTGAGCAAATCTGAAATTGCTGGGTAGGAAAGGAAAATAAGACCGTGAACAGGCACGTCCCATGGTCACCGGCCAGGGCTGTCATCTTCCGGCATGCAGGAAGGGAGGGTCTCAAGCAGGCTGGAGCTCCCAGGCACAGGCTGAAGCTGCCCTCCACGGGCCAGGGGCATTCTCTCTGCATGGCAAACCTCACTCCTGCTTTTAAATCTTCCAAATGATCCAGTCCATATTATCCAGAAATCATCCTGCTTATCAAATCCAGCTTCAAGTCATTAATTACATCTGAAAGCATCATTACAATGCAGATAAAGCTGGAAATTTGACTAAAATGATACAAATTTCTCCAGAATGCTATGGGATTGCATTGGGGTCGATGGTCCATTGACACTACAGTGTCAGTGCAGCTAGTAGTGTGCTGAACTAAATAGATTAACTCTCAGAATACAGAGGGAGATCAAATAAAGTGTGAAAAAATGAACAGGACAATAGCAGTAAACAAACTAGGGTACAGTGGACTACAGTAAAAAAGGAATGAATTGTTGGTACACAGCAACAGCATGGATCAGTCTCAAACGTCGTGCTGACTGAAAAAGGCCGTATGCGATAGTCTGTGTTGTATGAGTCCATTGGCATGAGGTTCTGGAGCAGACAAAACTAACCTGCGGTCAACAAGTTAAGGAGAATGATGGGTTGTAAATGGAAGGTAAGGATTAACTCAGAAGATGCAAAGAGGAACCTTCTTATGTATTGTTAATGTACATTTTTGATGGATGTTTGGGTTACAGGATATATGAGTTTGTCAAAATTTATCAAATAGTACACTCTACCATTTGTGTTTCACTGTATGGAATTACCTAAAATAGTAACTAAACATTGGACTGTGGGCCATGATATGCATGCTGAAGTGTTTAGTAAGTCATCAAAGTACTTTGGTAGGCGTAAACGTAAGGTAGATTGATGAATAAACAGAGGCATGATAAAGCAAATACAGAAAAAATATTAATTGTAGAACCTAGAGTGATGGCTATCCAGTTATTCAGTGTCTGACTCTTAACTTTTGTCTGTATTTGGAGGTATTAATAAAATCTAGGAGGAAACACGTGTAAAGTTGCCCTTTTAACCACAACATTCGCTTGCTTGCATGGTTTTTACAAAGAGACAGGACGGAGTAATGGAAAGGATATGGAGGTTAGACTATGAGATAGACTGTTCTCAACGCTTGATTCTTGCTCTGGGCAAGCCACTAACACTGTGAACCTCACTTCCCTCACCTGTAAAAGAAGGATAAGGAAACCTTAGGATGGTTGTGAGGTAGAGTGGAAAAAGCTGATTTAAATCCCTAGTCAGTGCATACAGCATGTAGTAGGACTTAACTGTTCTGATAACCTGTCTACAGAATGGGGTTACCAAAAAGCAGATGGGGTGCCTGCTGCTGAAGACCTTAGCACACAATTAGGGGAAGGATATGGGAAAGGAATCTGGGTGCCTGCTTTTAGCAGGTGCATGACATTGTTGGAAGAGCCCTGCTTAGCTGACTAAATGCAAATAAGAGATCAGAAAGAGCAGAGGGTATAGGGAAAGGTACCAAGGTACTGAATTAACCAGTCTTTTACAAAAAAACAGAAAGAAAAAACAAGGCACTTTTCTGGTCATTGCATTTTAGCTTAAAATTTTATTTAACAAGAATTTTAGCAGAATGCTTGTGAACAGTCTTGAAGCACTGTCAGATGGTGATAGCCGATCCTCTGTGAGGGTTCTCTCTGTTGTTCTGTCTGGCCTCGCCACGTGCTGAGGTGCTGATTATTAAAATTTATACTTCTGCACGTAACGGCTCCTTCTGGGGCATTGATTTCTTTTTACCCTCTGCCCCTGTTGACCACCTTGTAAATCCTTATAAAGTATACATAGTTCTGTAGCGAAAATGTGAAATAGGAATGGGAAGTTTTGCTTCTAAGGAGCTTTATCTTGGCACTTAGGAGATTAGATGAATACGTGTGTGACATTAGGAAACTGTGCAGTTGTGTGTGAAATCACAAGCTCAACATGTGCTCACACTCTGAGAACTCCAGAGTAAGGTGAAAGCCCTGAGGCCCATGCATTCTCAGTGCAGAAGGGGAGAGAGAGCTGGTAGGCTGAGAGGGAACAAGAAAGCCTGTTCCCTCTCCAGAGGCTGCCCTGATTCACATGGCAGTGGAGTACTGCTGCCCAGCCTCTCGGGCCACCCTTTCTTCTCCACCAGACGCCTAATTAGCTCCGCCATCCCAGATGAGACCACCAGACAGTGCCCGAGGAAGGAGGAAGTGTGTTGCTGGTGAACCTGAACTAGGATATGAAGTCTAAAATGACAGCGGCAGGAGGGGAAGAAGGAAGGGAGCTGGCCTTCCATGAGTACCTGCTACATGCCAGTCAGTTCACCTGCCTCTTCTCTTCACACAGCAGTGTGAACTAGGTGAACAGTACCCCACCCATTCTAGGGATGAAGAAAGTCAAGCCCACAGAGAGGTTACATGAACCTTCGCTGGCGGTAAACAGATGATACACATCAGATTGGAGCTCACCTTTGTTTGCCTCCAAAGGCCTTCACCACCTAAAAGTGACTCTTCTGTCATTCGGAGCCGCTCAGTGGATCTACGGCACCGAGTGAAGAAAGTCCGAACACACGTTTCCCTGCCTGAAGAGCTAGTCTTTCTTCTTGGGCCTGGAGATGCCTTTCTTCCACTCATTAAACTGATGATGCCCACAATTTGATTTGCCCTAGGTGGAGGAGGGGAAGAGTCCTGTGTGTACTTAACAAGCAGAACCTGTTTTTAGTGTTTAACTTGTCAACTCCTGTCTCGGTATTCTTTTAAATAGTAATTATATCCCTTTATAATACGCCCATTTTAAGCCCCAACAACTAATTTCCCTTGGTCCCCATGTTATGGAGCTTGCTGCTGCTACTGCTGCTTTTTTTTTTTTTTAAAGGAGAGGGCGGCAAGGCTATGTGCATGTGGGGTCACCCTTGTAAACCTGCCTATATCCAGTGGTTGAACAAATGTTATTTCATCAAAACGTGGTGATAACTTGATTCTCTTGTGTGGGATTGTCTCCAACCGGAGAATTACTTCCCATACGTTTTTCTTGCTTGATTTTGATTTGACTTAAGAGGAAGTCTACCTGACTCTTAAGAAGATTATTCATAAGGTATGTTGTGGATAGCCTAGGTAGATGCATATAGAAGTGAGGATGGTTACCTAATTTGTTTGTTTGCTTTCCCTTTGTTTTTACATTCTTCATCCTTTTCATTTCCTCCCCATCTACAGATGGCGTCCCACGGGAGACTCTGATGCACTTTGCTGTGCGGCTGGGACTGCTGAGGTTGACATGGTTCCTGTTACAGAAGCCAGGTGGCCGGGGAGCTCTCAGCATACACAACCAGGAAGGGGCGACGCCTGTGAGCCTGGCCTTGGAGCGGGGTTACCACAAGCTGCACCAGCTTCTTATCCAGTAAGTGTGCTCTGCCTAGTTCCCTCCTCTCAATCCTTTCCCTCCCCCCTCCCCCATTCCCCACCAAGCTCCACCTCCTGATTCAGATTTGGACTGCCCACTTGGCTGCTCCTTGTGGCTTTGCCTCAAATTAAAACCTCAACTCTACCTGGCCTCCTTCTGGAGGTCTGCAAGCTCATACCTGCTAACTGCTTCAGTGCCAGACAGAGAGCAACGTAAGTTTTGTCACTCATTTTCTCTTTCCTGCCCCGTACTGATTGCTTCACGCTGTTTATATTGTACTGAAGACTCCGAGTAAGTTGTCTTCCCTGACAGCATACATTACCAACATGTCTACTGTATCCCAGTGTCTCGTAATAGGGAACTTTCCATTTGAGTGTGTGTGTGTGTGTGTGTGTGTGTGTGTGTGTGTGCGTGTGCATACGCACTATACTTATTTGGCACGTTTTTAATAATTGTATATGGAAAACATGTTAAATCATTGCATTTGGGTTTGAATATGACCTCTATGAATTGAATCAAGAAGAGTGGTCTTTCCTAAGAGTAGCAGTAAAAATATAACTGTTGTCCTGCAAACAGTAGGTATATCCTGTCTATATCTGTGAGCCCAGTTGCTTGTACCTTCTGACTCCTTAAAGAATCGCTAGGGAAATTCTTTTTCTTACATAAATAGAAAAATAGGTGGGTTGTAGCAGCCAGTATTTTTCATGGGAACACTTAATAGAAGTTTCAGGTGTTGTTTCTTTTGTTTCATATATTTCTTGATTAGATCTTGACTTACTGTCACTACCTTTTCTACCACATGTCCCAAACGACTATTCTGAATATATGTTCTTTAGCATTTGAGGGACTCCTGTACATTGAATAAGGAGCCCTGGTAGCAGCATAGTTTAGGTATTGGCTACTAACATCAAAGCCAGCGGTTCAAAGTGACCAGCCACTGCACAGGAGAAAGATGAGATGAAACCCAGTACAGGGTTGTTAAATCTGAATTAACTCATGGAAACCGGATTTTAGTTTTGTACATTAGATTGTTATTTCCAGGTTCTCAGATTTTTGCCCCTGCTAGTTCTAATCTAGCTGTATTTTGTTAATTGTATGTGGATGTGGGTGTATAGGGGTGGTGGCCAAGATAGAGCCTCAGAATATAATGCTGCTGGTGGGTTATGCACACCATTTTCTCTTGCTTCACCTGCCAGGCTTGTGAATATACCAGTTAAGCCAGACAGAGGGCTCCTGGCAGAAAGCTTTCTGCTGGTGCTTGAGATACAATGGGATAGGCGGGGCATCCTTCATCTCAAATGCACTTGGATACCTGAGCTGTCCAGTGACAGTATTCCAGAGAGCGATATGTTCCAGTGTTTCCTATGTCCCATCTGGCCAATAATTGGATTTGTTTTGCTGCTTGCCTCATGGCCTCAGGAAGACAGGCTTTGTTCCAGAAATTGAACAATTAATAAAGTATAACTATTATGAAGTTCAAATACAGTTCCTCTAATTTGATCATGTAATTCAGAGTTTTGTTGGGAAGTGGGGTTAGCTAAGGATTGCCACCCAAATGAGGAAATAAAGTGATTACAACAGCTTCATTATGTGCCTGAAGGACATGTCACAAGACTGTTATTGCAACATAGCTTTAAGGAAACTAAAATGTTCTTGGAGAACCTTTTTGGCTCATTTTAAATGCCTCCTCTTTACATGTGGTAAGCTTCTTTAAAAAAAAAAAAAAGGGGGGGGGGTGGGGGGGATAGGTAAGAGAGAGGCAACTTGAGAATTCTCCCATTAAAAGACTCCCAACAGGAGAATCTGCTAGATACCTTAGCCCTAACTTGAATTCTTATGGGCTGTTACACTTCTGAAATCTAGAAGTGCTGTGAGCCATAAATGGCTATTTTAAAAACAAGGTCATGTTTGTACTATCAGTCTCCCTCTGATATTAGTATATTGTAGTAGCCTTTTGATCATAAACACAATCAACGACCAACCAAACTGACTGCCTTCTAGCCAATTCCAACTTAATAGCAAACCTAGAGGACACCCCTTGGGTGTCCGAGACTGTCACTCTTTGTGAGAGTAGAAAGCCTCATCTTACCCCCTCAGAGCAGCTGGTGGTTTTGAACTGCTTACTTTGTTCTTAGTAGCCCAACACATAACCACTATGCTACCATGGCTCCTCGTTTGACCATAAAGGGTTTATAAAGATCATCTTTAGCAGATGAGGAAACAGATCTACAGAGGGGAGGCGACTGGATTAGTATAACAAGATAGCAAGCACAGTAGGCCAGGAATAGAAGCCAAATCTCCCCCAAAGCACAGTCTCCATCCGGAGCACATGGAGCACATTCCATTCCTAGGATTCATAACTAGGGATCCAAGTCTTGTGAAATTGTAGGCAAAAGGTCATGTGTATGTCTTTCTAGGTAAAGAGTTCATTTTGTGAGATTCTCAAAGACCATGTAGAAAGTTAAAGAGTTGGCACAAAATATATTATCTTAATAGTTCACGCAAACCTTAGGGCTAATGCCTCTTCCTTGCCCTCTATTTTAAATTAAGTATCCCCTAGCCACCTCTACTCAAGGAGATGGAGCACCATGGGGGCTGCAGCACGGGGGGCCGGAGCATATGCTCATCAGTTGCAAGGAGGGCGCGGGACCAGGCAGTGTTTCCTTCTCTTGTGCATAGCGTGGCTGTGGGTCAGTACGGATTTGATGGCACATAGCAACGAGCACCACCCACCCACTGCCATCAAGTTGATCCCTCCTTGTAATGACCACCCTGTTTCTCCCTGGAGTAGCTGGTGGGTTAGAACTGCTAACCTGGGGTTGGCAGCCCAACCACTAACCCACACCACCACCAAGTCTCCTTGGGCCTAATCTCTATGACCACCCTGTTTCTCCCTGGAGTAGCTGGTGGGTTAGAACTGCTAACCTGGGGTTGGCAGCCCAACCACTAACCCACACCACCACCAAGTCTCCTTGGGCCTAATCTCTATTACACTCTTTCTTTTAAATGTATGTGCTAGTAAAGGACAGTTTAAGTACATTTTAAAAATAACTACAATCTCCACTTAGCTGAAAAGTCAAGTTTAGTTATCCCTTTCTATGCCTTTGGAGGAGCTCTGGCAGTATAGTGGCTTATGAGTTGAGCTGCAGCTACTGCAGATTCAGTAGTCCAAATCCACCAGTTCCTCTGGGGGAGAAATGTGAAGATTGACAGCTTGTAAATGCAAAGGGACAGTTTTACTCTGCCCACTAGGGCTGTTATGAGTCAGAATCCCAACCATGACAGTTTTGGTTTGGCCCTGGTGGTGCTGGCGGTTAGATGTTGGACTACTAGTCTCAGGTTTTGCAGTTCTAGTCCACCACCTGCTCTGTGGGAGAAAGATGAGGCTGTTCCCATAAAGGTTTACAGTATTATAAACCCAGTCCAGGGTCACAGTGAGTTGGAATTAACTAGATGGCAATGACTTAGGGGTTGCTCTGTGGGTTTAGTTTATGCCTTCTCAAATTGAATTAATTATTTTAATTCTTTGTTCCTTTTTACCTCTATATGTGTGTTGTTTTGTAGTTGCTTTAACTTGAGACTCAAATTTCTTTTTATTTTTGCGTGTCCAGGGATTATATTAATAGCCCATTTTGATAAAGTGAGTTTTACTTCTGTGTCAAAATATGATATTAACCATACTTGGAAATGGAGGGTTTTCTAAGACTTTTGTCTTTTTATCTTGAAATTGATATTCAATCCCACCAAGTGGCACTATGATGAGTTTTGTTTTCCTGTAACCTGTTATTAGCTCTCATTAGGCCAGCAGCATGGGAAGGAGTGGTTTTCTGGCTTGTTGCTATTTTGCTTTGTCTTACATTATGAATGTATGCGGATCTGAAAGTTTGCCCTAAAAATGAAGTGCTGGCATTAGATGAGTGTTACTCTGGAGTCACCCAGTAAGAGAATGCCAGCACCAGGGGGATTTCAGATGCTCTGTGATAGCTTCCTGGGACATTTCAAATAAGGTGTCTTGGGACCTAGGTCACGCATTTGGGGAGGGACAGAGTTTAGACTCGCAGTTCTAGCTGGTGACTAAATATGCAAATTTGGAGTCAAACCTAAATTTGCACTTTGGTTTATTTATTTGTTTGTTTGTTTCGCTTTGTTACTTTGGATACATTAAGGAACTTTCATCTCTAAGCCTCAGTTCCTTCATCTGATTCAAAAAGAAAAAAGAAGCGTGATAGCACTTACTTCCCGATTGATAACCAAGTGCTTGGCATATATTGTGAGAAATCGGTGCTCATTTTTTACACAGATTGTTATTCCGTGGAGTAAGAAACAAAATGAGAACAAAAAGCAGTGGCCTTAGACTTGACTCTACTGATGGCGAACCCGTGTCTGTCCGGTGAAGCTGTGTGCCATAGGGCTTTTCAGTGACAGCCCTTTGAGAAGCCAATTAATTGCCCAGCCTTCCCTCTGAGGAATTTCTGAGTGGACTCAAATCTTCAACATTTTGGTTTGTAGCCAAGTTCGTTAACTATTTGCTACACTATCCAAAGACTCCAGAGGGACTCTAAATATTTACCTTGAAGAGAGGCTGTGTGCTACGGTGGTGGAGTTGCTTAGGGATGAAGAGCTTAGTTGAAATCTAGACTTTACTACTTAGTAGCATGTGTGGTGGGGAACAAATCACCTCTACCTCTGAGTCTTGTGTTTCTCAGCTCTGAATTACAGATAGTTCTTATTCTGTCTACCACAAGGTTGTTGGAACTAGATGAGATGATTTGTTAAGTCTAATACTTGGTTAAATCCTATGGTACTATGGGAATGTGAACGCTTCTTATAATTAAATAGTAAGAAAATCAGCAAAATGGTAGTTGGCTGATCACACTTCTTTGGTCAAATTTATTGCAGTTCTCTGAATTAAAGCTAGTCTGGGGAACTCTACTTGGACAGGCAAAGTTTGAATAGAGGGTCTGTTTCTTTGAAGTGGTTTGTCTTTTGGCAAATTG